AAAACCTGAACGAGACCAAGCAGACCGATTTAGAGCAGAAACCAAGCAGCTCTCTCTATAAGTGACAGGGAACTGAGAAGACCAGTTGCTCTAGTTTTAATGGTTTTACAAGCCATATGGTTTCCATTCTTGCTGTAGGATTTCAGCTGTTCCACAGTTTAGGATTCCTTTGTCATATTTTTTTCTTTCATATGTTTTAAGTAGGTGACAGGTGTGGACTGCTGGCATGGCCATTTGGGACCCTTTAATACAGAGCTATGTGGAGAATGTGTTGCCGACATAAGCAAGGCTTTCCCTGAAAATGATGTCATCTGAATGGCAACATTTGTTGCTCTAAATCTGAGTAAATTTTAAAAATACTCATAATTAAAAAAAAAAAAAAAAAAAAGACCAAACCCTCTAATCTCAGTTTGTCAGGTCACAGATAAAAGACCTAAATGTGTCTGAGCTAAGAAAACGCAGCTGAATTTCTAGATCTTGCATTTTGTTTTGCATGCGACTTGAATTTGTTGGCATGGTGACGTTTTTGTCTCCAGAGGAGAGCTTTATTCGTTGGGAGATGTCCCTCCAACAAGTTACACACACTGTTTTTTCAAAAAGCAAAGGGATTTCTTATTTTTTTACATTTAATATGTTGTCTTTGTACTATTTTAAATATAATTTAGTGTTGAAAGGATTTGCAAAACATTGTGTAGTGTTTTAAATTTTACTTTACAATCTGAAACTTGAACACTGTAAACTACAGTGTGTGCTACACAAGCAAAGTACAACAAACTTCTTTAAAAACAAATATCTCATCCTTCTACTCATGTTCAGTAATTTCCCCAAGTTGAGCACACAGGAGGCACAATAGTACTGCCCTGTTAACTGTAAACACCAGCGCTTGAAGCCTTTTTGCAGACTGAAACGAAAGCTGGATCACAAGTTACCCTCTTGTATCAATACTTTATTTTATTAATGTGTTTTTTGGCTTAAACCTCGACACATGACCCTTAACCTTAACTGATGGCAATACGACAGAAGACAGAGGAGACGCAACAGCTACTAATAGTAAACTTACACCACAGGCTGTCCGCACACATATGCAAGCTGATATGCAACATGTGTTTGTGTTCCACTGTGCACTTCTTGTGTTTCTGTCTGTAAATGTGTTTGTGTGTTCATCTTCTGCCTTTCTTAGCTGATGAGGTTTTTGTTTGTGGACATTTGGTCACCTGTTTGTACTAACACAGGTGTACCCACACTGCTCTTTCCTGCTGCTTGCTCAATAGAGTACACAGTGATGTGAAAAAAAGCTTTTGTGCGACTCTGTGCATTTGTTTGGAAAGAACAGTTTCCAAAGAAAAGAAGAGTGTAAGGAGCAGCCAGTTTCTGGTAATCAAATGCTGGTTAACTGATCATTCGCAAGTCTGAGCACCTCTGTAAAAGCAGCAGTTTTGGCAGCTGACTGTATGGAGCATTCAGATGCTTGTGTTAACACAACGCGAGAATCGTCTCATGAGTGGATGCCAAATTCACCCCAAGGTCAGACTGTGCAATTCTTAGATAAATTCCAAACAACACATCTTAAATGTTAAAGTTCATGACAGTACAATTAGGCTTGTTTGGAAGGCTTGCCAAAAGAAAGCCTCTTCTCTCTTAAAAGAACTTGGCAGCTCATCTTAGGTTTGCTAAGTAGCATCTAAAAAACCCCACAAGACTTCTGGAACAATGTATTTGTTCCAGAGTAGAGATGCTTTGGCTTTTCCCAAATGTGGTGCTGTGCGTTATGACAAACACAGCATGCAAAAGAATCGAGATGTTGCAATGGTCCACTCAAAGTCCTGACCTCGGCACGATTGAAATGCTGGACAGTAGGACTGCCACAAACAATTATTTTGATAGTCGACTAGTCACCGATTATTTTTGCGATTAGTCGACTAATCAGATCATCAT